TCCACTAAACAAAACTGTTAAAAAACAAGCGTCCCACTGCCAAGCAGCTGTCGCGAACACTAACTTCAGTTCCGTTTAAAAAGTTGCAGAAACAGAAGTAAAAAACCGTGCGTATCTCCCACAGATGCATAATTAGAAGCACAGATCGGTTGTAACACTATAAGGGCGCCTTCAACTTAGACGCTCCTAGAAGCGCTGCAGCAGCCGCACATACCGCATATTTCACTAATTGTGACTGCATGCAAAATTTATTAGACAACATCACATATGTTGCTCTGAAAGTAAGCAATTGAAGCATTTGTGTTATGGAAATCGGACGTAACAATGGTACCACAAACACCCAGACTGGAGATAACGTAGAAAAGTAGGTTTTTTTTTCATTGACTACGCCAGTGTGCAGTTCACTTGACTTTGACTTGACTTGACTCGCCAAAAAGTGATGCGCGTTTTTTTTTACAATATCTAGTGACGGGACGAACAAGTCGTGCGCCTGGTGGTAAGCTACACGCCTGTTCATAACAGTTGCAGTGACACTCAAAGCTTGAAATCTTGATCTTGTCCTGTCACTGCACCCGTCACCCTGAGACATAAAAAGTTTTCGCGCGGCGACCGCCCAGTTACGATGCCTTCATGTACATTAATGGCGAATCTGAATTCTATTGCCTAGGCAACAACATTTAAATCCCTCTAAATAATACAAACGCGCGGTCAAGCCATACTCGCCCGCGTGCCCCGGACACTCATTTAAGTTAAAATGTAAAAGCTAAATAAATAGAGAGTATTTTGCCATGACAGGTAGACGCACACGATCGCTGTGCGGCGGCAACGCGGACTCCGCTCGGTGAGCGCGATGAAATTCGTGTTGAATAAATGCTTACCCTTCAAAAGCGGAACACAGTAACGCATTACTGCTTGATGGCAGAAATAGATATGTTGGCAGTACGTCCCTGTCGACAAACGCGCAGCTGCAGTGCTTCTATAAGCGTCAAATTTAAAGGCGCCTTAATTAACTTTTCCACACTCGCTAAATGTTACATATTTTTTCGCCTTCTCCCAACTTTACCACACACATGTCCAACCAACTGATAGTGCCGATTAAAACTCTTCTTGCATACATTACAATGAAACTTACGTAGCTTCAAATGTTGTTCCCTTATGTGAGATAGAAGACTCTTTTTAAGCATTTCCTTTTTGCAATAATCACAAGTAGCTTTTGAATACTGCGACTTGTCATTTTGAGCAAAAACTGAAGTGATGTACTCCTTGAATTTCTCCTTTTCATCAGTAACATTAACTTTAGTGTCTACATCCTTTTTTAAACAAGCAATTTTCTTAATACTGACAACATTGTTGTTAACTTTTGTCATCTGGACGTATGTTTGAGATTCACGTACGCGTTCCACCCAGGTTTCATTGACTTCCTTCTTAACTCCAGGAGAATCTTTATCTTTCAAGTTATAATGTGTTTTACGAATATGGTACTTTAGCAAGCGTTCTTCACAATACATGACACCGCAAGCAATGCATTTGTATTTATATGATTCATAATCGTCATGGACTTTTAAATGGCGGGCTAAATTATGCTTGACTGCAAAACTGCGGCCACAGTGATCACAGATATATGCTTTCTTGTTTGTTATGCCTGGAAGAAGAAAAGGAATTTTGTTATCATAATTCACACTGCAGTTACAATTATGTTGTAACTCAAATTATGTGAATATCACGATTAAACTATTGCTGAATGTAAAATTTTATTCTCTACATGTCTGAAAACAAAAAATTGTTTGTTTGCATCCAATTTATCCAAAACACACATTAAAAACAATTTGTAACAAAAGTTAGGTCCTGTTTCCATAGTGACCTTTCGTACACTCTGACCAAAGTTTTCTTAACTTTTTCAGAAACTACAAGGCATTGAGAAAAATTTAAATGTACAAAACATTGACTTACAAATAAATGGACGACGGGTCTAATACAAAAACCACGAAAAAAATGTCCCAAGTCAACCTATTCGAAATTTAAATTGTAATGTCATCACAGTATCGCGCTGTCAGTAGAACAAATGAAGACTGTCGCGCTCTGTATACGATTTTAGCGCCTTACAAGTGCGGACACTTTTTAGCGCGGACCCGACGTCCATATAATTGTAAGTCAATGGTACAAAAAAAGGTTTATTTGGGTTCAATTTATCCGAAACAAGCATTAGAAACAATCTATAACGAAATTTAAAGTCCTGTTTCTATATGTCCACTTTTGTACATTCTGACCGAAGTTTTAAAAAATATTATTTGAGTCTTACAATATAAGAAAAGTAAACAAAATACCTTTATGACCATCCAAGTGTCTCGTAAAGATGTCATTACGAAAAAACTCTTTACTACAAAAATTACATGTAAATCTAGCTTTTACAGCTTTATGTTGATATAGGTGAGCTTTAAACTTAAAGCTGTTGCCTGTGATGACCTTTTCGCAGATGTTACAGCGATTTTGCGGCTTGTGGGCAGCACTTTTCTGCATTTTTAACTCGGTGAAAGTTTAAGACCTAAACTTACGCCGACATTGTTTAATTTTAAATTATAAAACAAAACTAAATCAACATGTAACGTAACTTTACCATGCAAATAAAGATTATAATTATAACGATAATGAACAAAAATCAACGAAAATTAAAAGAAATCAAACCAAACATAAGAAAAACGAAAAGCAACAATTGTTTTGGTTTGACAATTGACAAGCTGCCAAAAGGTCAATGCACCTATCAATGTCAGTTTTGGGCCAGTGTGTAGGTTTTTCTAGAAAAAATTGGTTTTTTAGGCTTTTTCCATCCTCTAAGGTGGGGCCAGTTTAGAAAATATTCAAAGGATTTTTTCTTCAACGGGCATTGGCGCCGTTTGTTCACCGTAATTTTTATGTTATTTGTACAGTCAAGAGCATATCAAGCTTGACACTTTATTTCTTATAGTAAGCGGCATGAGCTTAATTGTCTAGCTTGACGTACTCTGGACTCTGTACATACAATACTACCGTACATAGTCCCACAGACTACTTAGTGAACTACGCATAGTCCTTTTATTTTTCTACCATTTACATACATACGGTATATAGTCATGTTTAACTTTTGTTTAACCCTGACATCGCCAGAATCATCATGGAAATCCATGATGCCAAAATAAATTGGAATTGCTAACATAATCGAATTCATAAACTAATGTGCAATTCACCGGTCGATTTTTAATCGATTTGAAACACTGATTAGATGCAAGTCTGTACATACCATAGACTTTTTATAAGTCTGTGATACATACATACCCCTTGAATCGGACGTATTCATAATGTAAATGACTCAAGTTAGCCGTGACAATGGCACATGTGAAAATCTGCTCGACTGTTGGTTTTCTAGTAAAAAAAAAATACACGCGAATGAGACCCGAGAATATAATTTCGTTTTTAATATGTAGCAATCATAAAACCTTTTGAATCAAAACCTAAGAACACGATATCGATTCCAAAAACTTAATCGATCAAATGGATCAGATCAAGAAGTTCACGCTATTCTGCAATGCATTTAAAGATTTAAGACATCGGACTTAAAGAAGTTGACGATTGTTTCCTTGTGGAGCTTAGGGGATGAGAAAAATTTAGAGTAACGTGAAGACATGGAGGAGGTTGGCACATTTTCTACATCGTCTGTGGTTTGCACAAGAATTTACTTGGCCCCAAGCAACGGCCAAATTAATATTTTTTAAATCTGTTGATAAAAAATAGTATGAAATGAAAATTTATTGAATTATATGTATGTGATAATTTATTTACTTTTTCTAAAATTTTTATATAAAAATGTTTGTTGCCGGTTAACATCTGTTATAATATAACATCGCCGGTTAAGCATGATCTATAGCTACGGTATGGTTTGTACCATAGATTTAGGATTTTTTCGCTTACACTAACTCGTCATAAAAAGCTTAGTTTCCATAGTCTAAGTAAAAAGCACATCATAAAAAAATGACAATTGCAAATCAATCAATCGTGGAACGCTCAATTTATGATCGAGAATACGCTGGTACATAGACATTGTTGTCGAGAATCGTTTCTGGTATTTCCGAGTCGAATCAAGTCGCAGATTGATTTGTTTATAAAATGCGTTCTATAAAGCATTGAGCTTTATAAAACGCAATACCCAAAGATGCGTGGAATCTATGTACTTCCTCAAAAATGTTATTTACAGATTTAAAATTGATCCAATGGAAATGAGGCTTCTTTTAAATTACATTTCTCATTCCGTGACGAGCTTAGATTATAATTATTTCCATCCCCTAAGCTAGCGAGACTTCGACTAAAAACTTCTCTTCAAAAGGGACATTTGCCATGTAATAAAATAAAAAAAAACTAATATCTCCGAATAGTTTCCATAGTTTTAAGATCTCAGAAGTCCCGCAGCCAAAGTAAAAATAAAACCACCAACGCACGTTGAAAGTTATCTACGCAATAGAAAGTTAGCTTGGTTGTGTAGTATGAACCTTGGACTATCTATTATTCGATACAATTATCGTGATTTAACTAAGATTTTGTTTGTTTTATTAATGTTTCCATTAAATGACTAATTCTTTCGATTCTGCTGTAAAACCTTTATGACATCTTTGCATATTTTAAACTATAATGAAATTTGTTGAAATTCATATCTTTTACGAAACACACTGCATGCTCATTGAAAATAAATAAATGAATTAGACCTAATCTTCCACTAAATAGATCAAAATTCCAGAAAACAGTATCAAAATTAGTGAAAATTGTATAATGTGACAAAGTTCTAACTCAAAAGGCCATGTGACGTAATTTGACGTGTATGGGTAGTTCGTGTTACTTTTTAATATAATGCGGCAAAATATAATCGGTGCCTGCGATATCGTTCAGTTTGGAGAAGGGGAAGGGATGCGGGGAAGACATTGTACTGAGGCATCATTTACGTTTGTTAACAACCGCGGTCTATTGAACATTGCCGTACTAATCTATGCTCATGTGCAAGCAGCCAGCACAGGAATCTGTTAAAAATTTATTTTTAATCTCCGAGTGTTTCTAGTGACTGAAATTTATTATTATTCCTCTACAAACATTCGCCGGACTTGTTATTCTACATTTAAAAACCCTCAGGTACGTTGTATTTGTGAAATTAGCTTTATAAACAATATGGTACATAAGAACGTGTAATGGAATACAAAGTTATTGTTACGTAGTATTTAGAGCTGTGATAACAAGATTTACTACGTTTAAATGCATTCTAATACACAAATTCATAGCTTTTTTTATAAATTTACACTATATTTTTGCGTCTTATATAATCAATATATCGAAATAATAAATGTTAACATTTTGACTACGTTTGCGTTCTAACGAAATTTGCCCTTGGTTTGTTTAAATCATGGTGAAATACAGAATTGACTCATAAGACATTTAAAGAATACTAGCTCAAAATCGCTAATTAGAACCCCATTGACTATTGTCAAATTTTGTTTTAAGGCTTTTAGTTCCACTTCCATTTTGCCCAAATCTGTTGAACACAAGTTTTATGCAAATTTTTATAATTATTGTACAAGTAATAGGGTTTCCGACTGTGCGTAGTCCGCTTGGGTCTTAAGTGGTTCTGTCACACTCCAGCTGTTATCCAGGTTTGGAGTAAAGGGCTGGTTTCAGCAACTTAATGTGGGTCAGGATCCTACTCGTGCCATCTCATTTCCTTGAATAATCTAAACATCCTCGTGGTTTGTTTATGTTGTGTATAGGGTAGGGTCAACATGATGACACCAGTGGCCCACTGGTTGCTCTGGTACTCGTTGTACAGGGAATGCCCTAGTTTAAGAGAGTTAGTGTGTCTACAAAGGCGTCAACCAGAGGACATAAAAACTGTGAGAGCTAGGAAAGTCCTTTAGTCCTTTAATGCTGTTAGCCTTGGTTGGCTCCGAACTGTACTTAGTGGTGATCATAATAAGCCAGTTATTGGTTGCAGTGATGAGGCATTGCGTAGGCGGTGATTCTGATGAAGCTACCTTAATAATATTAAGGTCAACTTCGCCTTAAAGCACAAAGTTACTGAAATAAAATAAATAGATGGTATATACAAAAGTCGCAGACTGCTCTTACATCATATTTCCTTCATATTCACAGACTGGCTTTTACTTATTCTTAAAGTAATGCATCCAAATTAGCACCTTTGATAATAAATTTAAAATAAATACAAAGTTTTGCTGTCTCCTTAATAGTCACTCTTTATAAGATACAAGTTTGGGAAAGTAAGGCTATGATATACAATAACAGGCATGGGCAACTAACGTACTATGCGTTACAAATGTTTGTAGGTGGCAGTTTCTTTTATGGTACCAAGCGACCGAATGAATAAGTCTTGCTTCTAGGAGTAAGCGTCGCCTGTCCATAACAGTTGCAGTGCCACTCATAGCTTTAAATCAGGGTTGTTGCTGATGCAGATTAATTACACATCAGTGGATGCTGATTTTTTACCTTAATATCAGCAGTTGCTGATGCAAATACTGATTTTATGTAATTTTAAAAGAAAACGTGTATCCTCATTGAATCTATCTCCATGGAAAAGGTTTTTATTTTCTTTGCTATTGTAATAAAATATTATTTGTGACAATTGTTAAGAAAAGAATCAATCTGCATGAAAAGAGTCAATCTACCTAACCTCTAGAATTAAATTTATGTCTTAGAAACAACAGCTGCGTTGGTTTTTCGACTTACACTCTGTTTCTGAAAGGTTTTTAATTATTCCACCTTGCCTTTTAGGTCATGTCACAACTCTAACATCCGCAATGACTATCAGCATTGATGACTGCAGATGTGGATGCGGATGCTGATATTCGCAACAACCGTGCTTTAAATATCAAAGATCTAAGAAGTACTGCCTCTGCCACTGTGACCCTGACAAACAAGTTGACAAGTCCAATGTGCCTGTGATTTCACCAGCTCCCTTATTTCCCTTCAAAACTGAAACACGAGTGGCAGTACCTCCTTGGATGTACTCTTTCTCAAGGAGCTCTACAGCTACCATTTGTCATCATGTGAACCATTAGACTGTCTTTCAGTTTGAATATTTTAAAATGAAATTATTCAACGAATTCAACTGTGCTTTTTTAAATTCCAGACAATGTCAAAACCAAGGCAAGCGCTCCCGATTGCAGTGATGACCCGTCGCAAAGTGGCTCAGCTAAATACAAGGCAATTGCGCAATAAAGATGCCAGCATGAAGAAGATTGCCGAAATTACACAGATGTTACGGAGACCCACTATACGAGATAAGAGTGTTAGCCCTGGAAACATTGAGAGGTGCGATAAATTTTCATCTCGATTGTACTAAGATAGTCAAATAGTGGACATCCCACATATACAGGGTTATTTGTTGACTTTGACAAACAACCCTGTATACATATAAGTCAAATAATCATTTATTCCTTAGGTAAAATTTTTACACTTGGAAATGTCATTTTTTAAGCTACTGCTCGTTCAAGAAGAAAGAAACTCTCTTGATTGTTCTTTTCAAATAAACGCTATAGAATACATTTGAATCATATTGTGTGGAATCTAGACTCATGTTGCCTTTCCAAACACCTTTATCGAACACTACAATTTTTTAATATGACTTTTCAATTAAAATACTTTTAATGTAAGTTTTGAACATAAGAAATCATAATTTTAGTATATGTTCCGGAATCTTATTGTACTTACAGTTACCCATAAAAGAATCATTTGCCTTAGTTAATCGAAATTGTGGTACCGTGAGTTTGGACTTACTTCTATGTTTAATATTATGGATGTCTTCTTTCTTAAATAAATTATGTATATTTTTTATTATGTTTATGTATTATGTATATTTTTATTGTAAAATACTAACAACGTGGTCTTGTTTTCGGGAGCGAAATCAGCTTTTTTAAAACTACAGCTTGACTAGATTACCCGGCACAGTTGGATGCGCATTGTTTAATAGGTGCTCTCATTGATGTATTTGTTAGCCTGAAACCTTATCTACCTAGGAGCTATGCACTACAAGATTTTTGCATTAGCAACAGCGTAAGCTGCCTGCAAGTACATTGAGATGTACCTTGGTAACCTAGCATGACTATATTATTAAATAAAGAATATACAGAAAAATTTGTTTGGTGACTCAGAGGGAGTATCAAAGAGATGACACAAATTCTACGACACATGTTGATAGAAATATGTATGCGTAACAAATATACTGTTTAATACATGAATAATAGTTTAATATGATTTGTATGTATGAATTTATAAGGAATATGTTACATTTTTGGGTGACAGGATAGGGACAATAGGCATTTAAAGGAAGTAGGACGAGGGATAGAGGGAGGGAGGATGTCATGTAGGAATACATAATAAGTTACTAAAAATAATTTTCTAAGTTTTTGTTGTTACTATTTAACATTTTTTAGATCTGTAGTAGTGAGATTGTAATATCAAACATGCGTCTTCCCTAACGATCCCCTGCGCCTGTGCGTTGCAACTGATATTTATGCTAGTTCTTTCTTTTGTACTGTACAAAATTATCACTGTTTAAGGTGATCTGTTTCTATATTAAATGATTGTATGAATTTAAAAAAAAAGTTGTTTATGATGTTAGTAATAGTCCTGCGAGGTTATTAGTATCTTACAAATAACCCTACATAATATATAGAAAACCTTTTATAGTTAGTTAAATTGAATGAAACAATGGAGAAGTCTCTTTTGTTCCATTTTATATATTACATTATAGTTATTGATTGTACTTAATGTGGAGCCAATTTCCTATCGGTCGGTCTTCCTCTCTTTCCCATCAAAATCTTTTTCCTTCTATCTACATTCTTTACTCTTCCCCCTGTCCTCTCTCTCCGGCGACTGATATCAAATAGTCACGACCCGGAGAAAGGGGACAACTTTAAACAACCTGTCATTAAATTTTTATTGGATTCAATAAAATAAAATATTTCATATAAATAAATATAAATACAATTAATAGCGTACATCTCTAGCCGGGGCTGGTAGCTGTAAAGGTAACTGGGTGTCGAAATATCATAGATTTCCCATAGATGGCGCTACGGCTAAAAGGTCGTTGAAAAAACTAAATACAAAGATACGACCTAAGCACATAGGAAAATTCGTGAGGTCCGCTGGATTGTTCCGTGTCTTAGTTGGTATATCGTCTGGCACGGTATGCTAGAAGACGTCGGTTCGAATCCAGCCGGATTGAAGGAATTTTTTCTGAGTGTTCGATTTTGTATTAATAATTATAACCTATCATTAGTTACACATTAATTATGTCAATATGTAACAGTTTAACAAGAAAACAAACGGAAAAAAGAACTTGAATTATGGTTACCATGCTATACTACCCAATTGTCTCGGACGGTTACCATGCTGGACTGCTACGCAGAGGTACCAGGTTCGATTCCCGACCCGGGAGATATTTTTTATTTAGAAATCTATATATACATTTATTTATCTCGTGCGTTTGGGAGTAAAGTGTGGCGTTTTGGTACAGAACCGATAAATCGGGAAACGGCCTAAATTTGCAATTTCATATTTTTTGTTATTGTTTTCAGATCGAGTTCAAAATCAGAAAAATCACCAAACAAGAACACATCGCCGAAGCAAGTTAAGACTTATAAGGGCCCTAAAACTAAAGAGAGTCCTAAATTAATAGAGAAGACACCTGTTCGAGGTAATATTCAACTGCCTCAGTGGCTGAACGGTTACCATGCGACTGCCACGCAGAGGTCCCAGGTTCGATTCCCGGGCCGTGAGAAATATTTGTAAGGCCTACATTTATTTATCTCGTGAGTTTGGGTGTAATTTGTGATTGTCTATGTGTGTGTCTATGTGTGCATGGCACCCGCGACACAGGGTCTTCCTAGGGCGGGGCTATGTTGAGTGTGTGCGTTATGCGTTATTATATATGTAATACTATACTTAAAGTTTCATTAGCAGTACTGCTTTTATGGCGAACGGCGATGGTGTGGATTCCCTACCTGCAGACTTGTTCAAGGCGAGAGTGAATAGGTATTATTTAGGTGGGCATGCGACATCTTCGACCTCATCGTCACTTTCCTTATAAGGTGGTATGGAAGTTGTGTTGGGTAATGGAAAAATTTCCATTTTAAAAAAAGAAAAACAAATTTTTCCACTAATTTTCCTTTAATTTTCCACATTTGACGTGTAGCGAATAAAAAGGCCTTTTCGCTGTTGTGAAATCATTTTAACTTGCCTTTAGCTATATAAGTTTATTTTCTTTTACGGTACATTACGTTTAACTTCAAAAGATATTTCTAAACGTAGAACAGGACACGAGGCTTCGAAATTATATTTTTTGAATTCTTCCAATTTTTCGGATATAATTCTGGAAAATTTTCCAAAATTTTAGATTTTGAGGAAATTTACCTAGCGTTAGATGGAAGTCAAATGCGTATGTCTTCCTGTAATATAAACTTGACAAATCCCATATTCCTGTGATTTCACCAGCATTCTTAGACCTGGCGACCTGAAATACATTATCAACCTAATTCAGGCACCAGTCTCTGCAAATATTGTAGTATACAACATATGTCAATTAATATATGTCTACAGTGTAAACTTTGCAGAGAAAACAAAGGTTATTATTATTTTCCTTTACCCTTTAACACCGTAACGCAGTAATTTTCACGTTACTACTTGGCGCCAGTAATAAATATGGATCTTGTTTCAGGCATAAAAATCCAAACACCCGTAAAGCCTAAAGAAACAAAAGAAGACGAGTATTATCCAAACAAGATGAAACGGATAACGAAGTCTTGCAAGGTGGTGCTGAAGCCCATACATGGATTGAAAATTGGCAGTAAGAGGAAGGTGGCGATGCCACAAAAAGGTTGGTAAATTTCCAGTTTTCCAGGTGGTAACTTGCCGTATCTTAGATTCTTACATAGAATAGAAAAAGATTCATTCACGGCTTACAACTAATCAATCAACACATGTAAATTTAGAAAGAGAAAAAAAAAGAATTAAAATAATAAAAAAATATTAGATTAACAGTTAAAAGTACGTAGGAAATAAAATAACATTAAAACGACCGGATCGAAGGAATTTTTTCCGAGTGTTTTTTCTGAGTGTTCGATCTTTGTATTAATAATTATAACAAACTAGTGGAGTAATTTCACAAAAAAGAATTGAATATCAATTCAATAAAAATTTAATCAATACAGTGAATAGCGACATCTCTCGCCAGGACTGGTAGCTGTAAAGGTACTAACTGGGTGATAAATCTGTCATAGATTTCTCATAGATGGCGCTACGACTAAAAAGTCATTGAAAGACCAAGTACAAAGACGCGACGCAAGCACATAGAAAAATTCGTGAGGTCCGTTGGTTCGTTCCGTGGCTTAGTTGGTATAGCGTCTGTCACGGTATGCAAGAAGACGTCGGTTCGAATCCGACCGGATCGAAGGAATTTTTTCTGAGTGTTCGATCTTTGTATTAATAATTATAACAAACTAGTGGAGTAATTTCACAAAAAATAATTGAATATCAATTCAATAACAATTTAATTAAAACGATATATAAACAGTAAAAAAAAAAGTTTATACATAAAACAATGTGTTGCTACCATGAAAAGGCTGCGACTCAGCGTAATGCCAGTCTGGAAACTGACGCTGATCTTCTGTCGCATCCTCATTTGTTCCGGCGTCGACCGGATCCCAGAAAACGAAGAAATCAGTAAATAATGAGATGTTTAGCACTTTCACAATATGAATGTATAGAACATGGTGATATACTACATACACATACATATTATATTGAATGTACCACATATGCCATTACATTATATAAAATTGTAATAAAACATAACTGAGTGTCAGTTCAATGGGAAGCGCGCAAGTATAATCTATAAGATATACCTAGATACCTATTTTACATTTTGTTATATCTATTTTATCGTTTCTAATTCAAACCCAAATATCCAGGAACCTTTACCTTAACTTAGAAAGGTATAATAAGAGTTAGGAAGTAAGACTCCATTTACATTACGGTGGAATGGAATGGAAGTACATAGCGTAATGAAGTAACGTGCAAACTAGATAAGAGCCAAAATCTTCCGCGGAATGCCCGAGCATACGCTTCCATTCCATTCCACCGTAATATAAATCAGTAATTAAACTGGTTCTGTCGCCGAACCGTTACCATGCCGGACTGCCACGCAGATGTCCCAGGTTCGATTCCCGGGCCGGGGCATATATGGTCTACATTTATTTCTCTCGTGAGTTTGGGTGTAATTTGTGGTTGTCTATGTCCATGGCACCCGCGATACAGGGTTTCTCTAGTGCGGGGCTATGTTGAGTGTGTGCGTTATTAAAAAATAAATTAAGGTCCCTAATATGGGCGACTTAGTGCGACCCGATCTGCAGCTAGGGCAGTGTAATAACAAATAGGACAGTCAGGGGACTCAGTCTAGCTTGAAACGTACTACTTAAGTATCGATGCTTACTTACAGCAGTAGAGCTTGTGAAAGAGGTGACTTGTGATTCGGAATTAGTAGATGCGAAGCTGCAGAGCCTTGAACACCGCCGTAAAGCCGATGTTCTGCTTATCGGTATTTTACAGGATATATCACGGAGAGTGTGCGATGGAATTACACGATTTAATTCCGCCTTCCCCTTTCCATCATCGGGGGACTAGGCGTAGGCTTGGCTTCCACCCCTATGTTGTAGATATTCCAAAGATTCGCACGAAGCGTTACGCTTCCACATTTATATGGCGAACGGCTATGGAGTGGAATTCCCTGCCTGCAGACTTGTTCCCTGAACGTTATAACTTGGACCTTTTCAAGGCGAGAGTGAATAGGCATTATCTAGTGTGTGGATGCTCCATCGTCGACCTCATCGTCACTTTCCATCTGATGAGATGGAGTTCAAATGCACACATACATTAGAATAAAAAAAAAGAGTACGTCCAGGGAAGTAAGAAGAAGAAGAAGAAGAATGTGAGCATTATTAGCAGTGCCCATAAGATCTTTGCGATTTGAAGCCCTGAGTGGCACTTGGTGTTATGTATATAAAAGAATAATTTTACTCGATACAGTATCGGTCATAAATTATCGATACCTTCTCGGTATCGAATTAAAAGCATCGATACTTACTCATATTAATAAAAACAACAAATAAAAACAGCAATAACCGGTTTCTTGAAAAAGTTACTGTAACTCCAGCTTTCGCAAGGTACAGAGGTGCCAATAGTGTGGTGTACCAAAAAAAAAACAACATTGGTAACACAGGTTTTAAATCTCCCCATTTTGCATTAACCTTCCTAAAGCCGATGTTCTGTTTATCGGTAGCCGATGTTCTGTTTATCGGTCGCCGATGTTCTGTTTATCGGTCGCCGATGTTTCGTTTTTGACGTTATACCTATAGATTTGATTATTGTTACAATTTTCTTTTCAGGTATAAAACCCCCATCACCCAAACGCATCAAACAAACACAACCAACACGCAACACGTCTACTATACAAGAAATCATCGAGCTATCTGAACAGCAGGGGTTGTCAGATGAAGATTTCTTAGAAATACTAACGTGTGAGAGCCCTGTGTGGTGGGAAAACCCGCCCGATTATAGCTATGATGAAGGTATGTGTTCAAAACTACTGCCCCCCGTATCTCAACTGACGCTTTCGTATTTCGGTATACGCCACAGCTGCACACGTGACATCTACTTAGTACTACACAATAGTGTTGACTATCTTTGTGGTCATTTCATACCTTTTACCAAGATTTTATGTTTAGTTAATTTTATTTAATTTTTTTTGTTATTTTGTTTTAATTTAGCTTTATCTTTTTTTTTTATTTCTTATTGTGTATTATAGTGTTGTGGCGTTATGTAATAAATCGTTTCTATTCTATTCTAATCTTCGATATATTGGCAACTGAAGTTTTATCATCACCTAAAAAAATGTCAATTACGCTGATTTTACATAAGGATGTATTTCCACTGGCGAGGCGAGACGAGCCGAGGCGAAACGATTTTTAAAACTTGTATGGCAAAATATCAATTTTCTCCTAGCGCATCTTGGATGGAAATGGTTGGGATTGACGAGGATGGGCGAGACGAGATTTGAAATATTTGTTGATGTAACATTGAACCGTATTGCTGCCTACATAGACTCTTTATTAACTCTGCAACGGAAACACGATTCACGATGTCTCGTTCGACATCGCACGAGCTCGCGTGTGCTCGCGATGGCTATTAATGTCAATTGCGAGATTGTGGGATACAGTCGCGTGCATTGAAATGTAAACGTTCACACATTTTCGAAACTATGTAAATATTAGATATTTCTAAAAATGTACCTTGTGCTGTTTTCAAAAATATATAATCACGACACCATTTTAAAAAAAGGTATACTTTTATATCAGAGAAAAATAAACAAACTACAGTCAATGAAAAATATATAGTCCTAGTGTCATACATGTATCCATATCATTTTCGTAAATATTTGTACAATGCATATTATATATTTATAATTGCATTAAAATGTACACGATTAGGATTGTGATTTTATCATAATTATGTAACCACTTTTAAAACATTACATCTTTTTCAAAAGTATGTATACACAATATAGTTGCAATATAATGTAAACATACCAGCGCCAGTTGTAAATTTTTTATGTGTATTTTGCTAGTTCGTAATATTTGCCCTGGGATAAAAGATTATAAAAAAAAGGTATTTTCGAAAAAGTTATCATAGAGGGTACAAACTGCTTATATGATTATTTCTTGTTACATTATCTTCATCTGATTCCGTTAACATATTTACCTTCATCCCTTCCGTTAACATATTTAATAATAAGATTTACGAGACATGGCACTTTAGCCGCGTGTTTATCACTAGACGAATTGAACAGCACTGTCTGTGAACTGTGTCTTCACTATTCATAACCATAGCGCGAGCTCGCGATTTTTGGTGGAAATAGGTCGGCGAGATTTCAATTCTCGATTCGCCTCGTCTCGTCTCTCGTCGCCGGTGGAAAAGCACTTTAAGGGTCGATACTACCTCGGCTCGAATTAAAATTCTTCCCGTACTAACACGGTTCGTTTTGCTTAGATCGGGCGGCATACTATACGTGTTCTCCATTGACTTACAAATAAATGGACGACGGGTCTAATACAAAAACCACGAAAAAAATGTCCCAAGTCAACCTATTTAAACGTAGTGACATGTCAAGGAATATGAAAAAGCTAAAACGTTGAATTTAAGTTGTAATGTCATCGCAGTACTGTCTAATTTTGCTTGCTTCGCTGTCAGTCGAACAAACGAAGACTAAAGCGTGAATGACGCTCTGTATACGATTTTAACGCCCTATAAGTTCGGACACTTTTTAGCGCGGACCCGACGTCCATATAATTGTAAGTCAATGGTGTTCTATTTCGTTCGGTTGGTATAAAGAAATCATTGGTAAAGTACCTATTACAGCGGTTTCTTAGTATCTTATTTAGTTTCGGTTTTATTGTTAAGAGTCTATGCTACTTCAAGTGGCGTTGGTTCCAGTATATAAGCATAAATAGAGACGAAATAAGTGTCATCCATCCCTGGCAACTCATCAGGCAAATGGGCCTTATATCCCTTTTAAATATCAACTCTCGTTTGCGGTGAAATCACAAATTAGAAAGCTGAAATAATACAGCGCCAACAACTGACCTGTGTGTACGTCTCCGTATATTCTAAAAATATTCTGTATTTATTGTAATAAAGACTCAAATAACGGGGAGCTGTTCCATTCGGTGGTGTGAGAAAACAGCAAAACATCTAATTACAAAATTAACAAAATCACATTTCATCGGTAATTAAATATGTATTTTTCAATTTTCGTCCATTATACCAAAGCTTAAGTAAACTGGTCGATTTGAAGTGAAACAATTGACGACACCTGTCATTTTTTTTAATTCATCAGCAGTTGTCATTGTAATGATTTGGCAGAATAGTTTTCAAACAAATTAAATGACCTGTCGTCTCTAGTTATATACTCGATGCCTACTTAAAAAACGGATATATTTAAGTTCAAAAGTGGCTGGTTTCCGTACATTTATAGTCGTCACCAAATAAGAGGCCAAATTTGACACTTCTCATCGTGACGCGAATAGGGATGTGGACTAATCATATCGGTAATCACATTATACGATTTTCACGAGAAATCGGTTCAAAATTTTAAGAGTTTGTGATTGTTTAGATTATTTTTTCGGTTCATTGTTGCTCAAGGGGCCTAAAAGGCCAAATTCAAAGAGCAATCCCTAGAGTTTCTTGCTCGTTCTTCTCAGGGAGGTCAGCGTAGTGAACGAGCAGTAGCTTAAATGTGACGTTTTCAAGTGTAAATTTATTTTACTTCTGGAATAAATAATCTTTGACTTTGACTTTAAAACGCTCCCCTGTAAACTTGACAATTTCAACATACGATACGTTACCTAGAAGAGGTCGATTTATAATCGTAATAAAAATAATAATAATAATGACGCACACACTCAAAATACTAGGGAAACCCCGTACTAGGGAAACCCTGTGTCGCTTGTGCCGTGGACAACCACAAATCACCCAAACTCACGAGATAAATAAATGTAGGCCATACAAATATGTCTCCTGGCCTGGCAATCGAACCTGGGACCTCTGCGTGGGAGTCCGGCATGGTAACCGGTCGGCCACGGAGATATTCATTTTTTTATTGTAAGAGCTATTTTTTCACAACCTAAAATTCATAAGTTCTGTTTTTGTATATTCAATTGTCAAAGACCTTGGTGATTATCTTTAGATACCTCGGAAAATTGGGGGATTGTGTTCACAAGCATTTTTTGTCCTAAAACTCTTTGGTATTTTAAAGCCTTAAATATATATTGCATTGCATTCTAAAAATACATAAAACTCTAACATATGACTCAAATATAATAAATAAAAGAAGTAATTGTACTGTTCTGTCTGTCATACCTGTTAAAACAAGTTTTGCTAAAAGACAATTTACAAGACAAAGTGCTGACTTATATAATTTGATAAATAAGAAATTGAACATTTACCCTATGAATTTATACGAGTGTAAGAGTACCCTGAACGCATGGCTTAAAACACAAAAATACAGTGAAGTGGAAAGTCTGTTACAAATTATAACGTGACAAAATCACACACCACGCACGCACGCACGCACGCACGCACGCACGCACGCACGCACGCACACACACACACACACACACACACACACACACACACACTCACACTCACTCACACACACACACACACACACACATTCAGACATTTTCGCTATGTTCTCTTTTTGTTTTTATTTTTGAACTACTTACTTTTAGATTTAAAACAAATAATTGGAAATAAATCATAAACTTTTTGTACATTCTATTAAGGAAGAGCGGGGTCTCCTGACACAGGTATTTATATACTTAAAAGGAGTACCCTTGCCACTAATTTGTTTTGTATGATTTGTTGATGAATAAATATTTTTGTATTTTTGTATTTTGTATATTGTACATTTTTCTTCCAGATGCCATCTGTATAAAGAAACCAATATTGCACCGAGAGTTAACAGACAAAACTGGTAAATCTAATCAATGTACACAAATTAATAAAACTGAGTCACTCCCGCACCAAATACCATTAATAAAACGTACCGACAACAAATTCATGACAAAGAGAACGAAATTAGAAAATCTATTAGGCAATATTAAAAACAAATTGGCAAATAAAGTTAATATTAATAATAACAGTATTGCTAGTAAACACAGCGAAAATAAAAACGCTCAGATCGAAACAAAAATACTTACAGAAACCAAATCTATATCATTGGAAACAAACAAACGAGCAACGACCTGTAGCAATAAACAGAATGACGAAAAAACATATGAACATCAAAAAACTAAATCCACTAAAACAGTCGAGGTTAATGTGAAAACAAGTGACAGTATAGATTATAACAAAAGAATACACAGTAGAATTTCAGAAAGTACAGACGGAGAAGATGTATTATTAACGTTACAAGATAATGATATTTTAAATGATTTAGAAAACATGGACATACCTGTGCAGGAAAATGAAAAAAATGTAAGCGACACTGGAAATAAAAACTTAAAAGACAATTGCAAGAACTCCGCAATAGTAACGGAAACATTTTCAACTAGCTACTGTAGCAAAGGACAAATTAAAAGTGATTTTTTCAATACAAACAACAATTCAAAGTATGATAATTACCTTAACAATACTGACAAAAATAAACATCAAAAACAAGAAAATGTAATTGACACAAAAAGTGAAACTGTTGATAATATTAATAAAAATAAAACAAGACTTAATAAATCTACCTCAGACACAGAAAATAACGCACAGTGTAATGATTTTATTTTTAAAACAAACCCTAGTGTAGATAGGCTATGTACTGTAGTTAATACTGAAGACAACGAAGATTCAGATATACAAAAATTAACAATAACCAGTATCGAAAAAATTAGTTCACCAACATTGTCTGATGTCGATAATTCTAGTTGTCAGGAATTTGACACTATATCGGAGAGTAATTTAAAATTTATCGATGAAGATATATCTAGTCTTAATAGTGAATATTCTTCTAGCGATAGTAAGAATTTAAATGATCAAATTTGTGACACTAAAGAAGTAAATAACATTAGAGGTAACTTAGAAAGTGGTTCAAGTCAAGATGAGATATTAGAGCCTAATTTCATACAAAACGAAAAAGATTTCGAAAGTGTTGAAAAGATTACAAAGTTTAAAAATCAAAAGAAAAAAGATAAGGAATATATGACTGTGTATAAAATAATTTCATGTGAAGACGTCACTGACAGTCAAATTGATATTAAATTTGTGCCGAATGACAGAGATTTAAAAAATATACAAAAGTCAGATGTTTTTAAGAAGATAATTTCTGAAAACGACAAATCTCGTGAAAAAACAGATTCTGTAAAAGGGAATTTAAATTCATTCTATAAGAAATGCAAAAGTACCTATCACAGGAAACCTAAATCAACTTCAAACAATATTGAGGGTGAAATTAACAAGAACATTTCAATTGAACTACAAAATTCAACTGAAAGTGAAGCCATTGATAATTCAATTTCAATTGAAACTGAAGGTGTTTATGCGGTTGAAACTGAACAGGCGTTCAATCACGACCCTGAAAGTGACACGTTTTGTCGATCATGTGAAACATCAGAGAAATCTATTGTTATCTCAGACCAAAACATTGTGAAATACTGTTTAAAATGTTCTTCCATTTTTGAATCAGAAAATTGTACATATTGTGATAAAAAAGCTGAAATAGATAAGAAAAATCAGCAACCAGTTATTAAAATCAGTGATAGTGTGAAACAATCTAACGCAAACAGTGGAGTTAAGTTTTCAAGTAAGTAGCGTTTGTAAGTGTTTAGTAATAATCTAGAGCTCCTTGTCGATGAGTTCGTCCAGGGAAGTACTGCCACCTACAACAGTAATGTGAGCATTACTGCTTTTCTGTTTTGAAGGGTGCTAGTGAAATTACAGGCACATGGGGCTTTTTAAACATTTATGCTTCTGTACTATATTTGGTGTTTTATTCATTAGACAGGCGGCAATTTTGGGTTTTTTTATTAGGCGCCATTTAATTCAGTCATTTTGTGAGCAAAGCCATTCAACAAGTACCGTAAAACAACATTTTCAAACGTATTTACTGACTTCATGTGATTTTTTGTACTTGCAGTATTCATTACCTATTTAATCATTAAATGTAAAATGTTTATTATTTAAAAAACATGCACTGTAAGAAATTTAAAGAAGCAGAGGTTGCAAACACAAAATGTTTTTTTATAAACGCAACAATTATCGTGTCATTTGTAAATATTATTTGTCACAATGTTTTCTCTTTGCTGTAATGTTCACGTTTTGTCTAATTAAAAAATTAAACAAAGTATAGTTAGTACCTGGACAACGAAATTAACTATAAGGATACTGCTAGGTATGAAAATTTCGATTTATTACAAACTCCAGTTTCTAATTCCAAATTTAAGTTTCCGAACGTACCCGAAAGATGATCATATTGTTGAATGTTTTTTTTTTATTATTTGAGTAAGCATTGAAATTATAGAGCATAAGCATTTCTGAGAAAGAACTTCTGCTAAGGGCACGTTCCCATTATGCCGTAACGTTTTATTTATCGTTGGACGACAGTCGCGTCTAGCCTGTTCCCTTATCACGACTATCAGTCGTGACTGTGTTGTGGACGTTTATTTTATCGTTGAACGACTGTCGTGTCTAGCTATTCCCATTAGATCGTGACGACAATTTATCGGTTCACGGCTGCCGCCTTGTCGTTCGCATGAGAGACTGTCGTCACACTTTTATAGTGACGTTTTATTTATCGTCAGACCACTGTCGTTCTAGCTCTTCCCTTTGTCACGACAGTATGTCGTCGCAACGTCAATAAAATCGTGGACAACAGTTAATCAAATCGTAGACAAAATGTTGTTCTCTATGTGAATTGCTTGATTTAAAATATACAAGCCACGACAGTTTAAACTGAACGACTATCTGTCGTCACGACATAATGGGAACGTGCTCTCAATCAGCAATGTAAAATATATCTGCTCTCTTGTGTACAGACTGATACATGTTATGTTAATATTTGTATACTCAGAGACGTATTTGGAAGAACGCTAAAAAATGTTGAATAATGATAACATCGTCACATGTGGTCACTGGCCACTAACGTTTAATTTAAATCAAAAGACGGTTAACGTAATTCTTTTTTCAAATGAAACGTCTGATACATGTGGTTTATACAAACGTTGTAATCATAATTTAGTCTTTTTTGCGTTCCCCTAAATATGCCCATGAATGTAGTTTGATTTTTGATTAGAGAACAAAGTAACGGTTACTTATGTCACTTTGATAAACAATGTTGCCTTGTGTAGTGATGCGTTTGGTTCAGTTCTCAATGAGTTCACTGAAACTGTATCATTTGAAAATAAACTTTAAACATTTTTGATTGCATTAATCTGCTAAACAATATTTAATTTACATTTCTCTGTTATGAAATTCTTAATTTTAACAGTAATTATATTAATTTAGTAATACCCACAAATAAATTAAAAAGATCAATTTACTGCCAAAAATTTTTTTCAATGTGGAAGTGTGAAAACGCGATTGTAAAGTTCAATAAATTATTGAAAATTATATTTTCGTTTATAAGTGGATAACTAAATATTATCTACAAATAAAGTTTGTTCTATTATTCGCAATAAGAGCCATTCAGTATTTTTCAAGGGTTTATTTTCTCAATTCCACCCGTTATGGAGTTTCGACAATATAAGTCTTGGTTCATACAGCATTGTCCTGCACGTTTTAACTTTTGCCCTTAACGTATTCGGTCACGCGAGATATTTTTATGCGTTTAAAATTCGGATAGCCGCAGAAATAAACACAGCAATCGCCCTGAGAACACGTCTGTGATGGATCCACGCTTTGTTACACTTCTATATTGGCATAAAAGACGCCAACGGCTTTGCCGCCGTAAGAGGTTTTGGGTTCATCCAATTAATCAAGTGGCAGTGCGTACAATCATCATCAGCCTATCGCAGCCCACTGCTTGACAAGGGCCTCCCCCAATGTGCGCCGCTCCTCGCCAGCAACCTTTCGCAGGTCGTCACTCCACCTGGCCGGAGGGCGCCCTACACTACGGTTGCCGAGTCGCGCTCTCCACTCTAGAACTCGTTTTCCCCATCGGTTATCGGTTCTTCGTCAGATATGGCCAGCCCACTGCCTTGCTTGCTTATTGCACGAGCTATGTCGGTGACCTTAGTTCTCTGTCGGATAACCTCATTACGAATTTTATCCTTCAGAGAAACTCCGAGCATAGCCCGTTCCATAGCTCGCCGAGCGACTTTAAATTGGTGGACTATCCGTATCGTGAGTGTCCACGTCTCTGCTTCGTAACTCATAACAGGCAGGACGCACTGGTTGAAAACCTTTGTTTTCAGACTTTGTGGTATAGATGACGAGAAGACTCGACGTAGCATCCCAAACGCTGCCCATCCAAGCTGAATCCTCCTCCTGGCTTCCTTTTCGAAATTGTTTCTACCTGACTGCAGAATGCGTACAAATACATTAGAAATAATTGTACGAAAATCTGAGAAATGATAAAAAAAAAATTTCAATTACTTTCGGATGTCAGTAAATAGATAGCTTTGATAATTTCTTAAAACCTCCAAAAATAAATACGAATACTTCAATGCTAGACGCCGCTTGTTCGGTGACTATTCGTTAAAAGGTCGCTACAATGTCATGTGAACGGGGGCTACGGTTTCATGTGCAACCCATTGACTGAGTAAGTGAAATGTCAAATTGATTCGATCGTATCAAGACAACACTATTTGTCGAAAATTGGCAACACACATCAAATTATTATGTCTAATTAAAAATCCGACTAAAAATATTATTTTTTGTTAAATAACCTGTTAGCCTATTTGTTAATTTAAAAAAAATCATGTTTGGATGTAGTTATAATATGTTAATAAAATTATGTAGAATATGTTTTGTACAAATAAATAACTGTCGATGTTACTATTAAAAGATGAACTGCATTATATTGTATGTCTTACCATTGCATGATTTTTAGCATTCAAAAGCAATGTGTGTAAGAACATTTAAATTCCAACCTATGAACTTAAAGTCCTTTAAATCTCACCTACATATACAGGGTTACTTTTAAAATACTAACAACCTTGCAGGACTAGATTAGGTACTAACATCATTCAAAAATTATACATTTATGTATACTTAGTAAAAGTATGTTACATTTGCAAGGGTTGAGGCTCAAGTGTCAATGGCAGGATTTTGTGCGTTTGCTATTCTGCTAAAAGTTAACGAGTAGAGGCTTGTCAATGCCACCTTCCGCATATAGGGTGAAATTGTATTGGCGTCATACAGAGTGGAATTGTGATTGACGGAAATGAACCTTTTTTCTAACAACTTGGAATTTTGACTTAGCTGGAGCTGCGTAACATCATTCCACTGTAGAGACACCTTCCTTTACACTTTTAAGTTTTTTTTTTATCTACACACATATCATAAACTCTCTGTAATGTGTTCAAAAACCGCAAATTACGACCAGCACAAAAGGTAAACCGTTTTGTTAGCACAAATTTCTTATCTGTGAAAATCGATGTTGTTATTACAGTAAAATTTCGAACATCTCTGAAAGACAAAACAATTTGATTGGACCTCAATTCTAATATCAGTCGAGATGAAGTTTTATTCAACATGAAATGTCAATAGCAAACAATTTTGACAATTTCACACGTTACTTGATATCGAACGATATGATAGTTGGGGCCGATTCTAGTTTGTCTATGAATTAAAGATCAAAGAGAAAGAAAAGTTTTTATTTGCTGCCATTTCGCCAATGCGGTTCCTGAACACATCACACAGAGATTATAATATGTGTGTAGATAAAGCAGTGTACGTAACTGTACATAATTAAACATTAAAACACAGTCAGCTCGTTTCATAAACCCACACTCGTTTTTTAATGCCTTTCATTATATGACAGTTACATAAACTACTATTTTGTAATATCTTACACTTTTTAGATTTGTTGGCAGTAAGGCCGGCCACATAGAGTCGGAATTCTGTTTTGAAATCCCGTTTCTGAATTTCATAGGCAGCAAATCCATACAAATCACGGACTTAACATACATACATTTCCTTTCGAATTTTTTCCTATTCGAAATTCCACGTCGAAGATACTCTGGGCCTCGATTCAGAACTTTTAAGATACAAAAGTTGTTGTTTACAATGTTAGTAATACAGTCAGCGAGGTTGTTAGTGTTTTTCAAATAACCCTGTATATTCCTATATCGGATCATCACGTAAAGTAATAAATAATTGAATATCAATTCAATACAAATTTAATTACTGTTAATAGCCACATCTCTAGCCAGGGCTGGTATCTGTAAAGTTACCTAACTGGGTGACGAAAAAATTTCATAGATTTCTCATAGATGGCGGCTAAAAAGTCGTTGAATACAAAGATCCGACAACAGGCACATAGAGAAATTCGTGAGGTCCGCTGGTTCGTTCCGTGGGCATAGCGAATGGCACGGTTTGCTAGAAGACGTCGGTTCGGATTCGGCCGGATCGAAGGAACTTTTTTAAGTGTTCAAGTCATTTCACAAGAAATAATTCAATAGAATTTTTATTACAATAGTAAATGTTTAAAAGTTATTTTTGGACGTTGCAAAGTGGCGCTATACGATCTGTTTCTAGTATTGGCTATTGAATACTTATAATTATAACTTTTTTATTAAAAAAACACTTTAAAAATAAAATGAAAGGAAATTACATCTATTTGACAAATTTTATTGAAATCGGTTAACGTAAAGTGAGTGAAATCCAAGAAACCGGATTCATACTTCTATACAATTTGCCCCCCTTAGAGGTGGAATTATTTTTTTCAAATCTAAATGTGACCACTATTGAGATCCCAACAATCAAATCATCGAGATCGGTTCACAAATTTTTCGAGTTATCGCCTAACATACAAAGAACAGTAGAATTAAGAACCTTCTCCTTTTTTAAAGTCAGTTAACAACTAGCGTTAATGGTTAAACGAACCAAGAAATCTTTGCAATTAAAGCTTAAATTTAAATTAAAGCTTTGCAAGAAAGCTTTGAAATGGTATTGCAATTTTTGCGTTGTGAGAGATGTATCTAGGTTTTTTAAAGTTCCAGCTTATTCATTTAGACGTTACGATCTATAAGGTGCGTAATTAATGATTTATTTTAAGGTAATTTCTAGGTTACTTTTCATTGCCTAATTGCGTTAGCCATTTTTACTATTTAAAACTAGAATTTTATCACGTAGTATTACTTGATATTCGAGTAGAGTATCCAGAAATATCATTTAATCATTCACAATAATATCGAGCTATGGGATTTACTACCATTCACCGTCCCAAAACCATTGCTGTCAAATAACTAATACTCGATCTTATGGCAATTTTAAATATGAAGCTTGTATACATTTTTAAAACTTTAAAGGCTTAACATATATATAATGCGTCAGTCTTGCATTAAAATAAATTAATAAAATTGAACAAAAGCCAGACTTTATTTAAAATAATAAGATATCTCGCCGAATCGACTCCAAGGACGCGTCAACATTTCCTTCCAACATTACATGAAATAGAAATTATAACAGAAACTAAGGGTCGTGTTCCAGAACTCTGCTCATACTCAAGTTAGGACTTGAGTATTGAGTAGAGTTCAGAATACGCCCCTAAGTTTATCATGAGCCCAATTGTTTTTTTTTATATATATGTTACCGGAAATGTATGTAATCCGTCATTGTATACAATTCCTAGGAAATGTATGTAATTCCTAAAATCGCACGGAAATGTGTAAAATAAATTATATTAGACACATTCGGAAGTCCCTCTGGGCAGAAACGAATTGGACTATTTAGGTTAAGTTAGGTTTTTTTTATACAAACGCGGAAGTCCCTCTGGGCAGAAACGAATCGGATTATTTAGGTTAAGTTAGGTTTTTTTATACAAACGCGGAAGTCCCTCTGGGCAATGAGTGCTTTAATAAAAAATTTTATTCTCATTTTAACAACGTGTTTTATTACAGAAAGCATTATTTTTATACATTTCCTAATACGATATTGGAATTATATACAATTCCTAGGAATTGTACACATTTTCTAGGACATTTATGTAACAAATAGTTTTTGAAACAATATTTTATACATTTCCTAGATAGCTTCGGAATTGTATACATTTCCTAGGATTTGTATACAATTCCTAGATTTCATACATTTCCGGTAACATATATATGTTGTTGTAACCAACAGAATCAATATTAAAAAATCGTAACCTAAACGACACCATTTGTTATCGCAACCGACATGGTACGTACATCACAATTTCGTATAGACAAAGTGGCAAAAAACGTGTTGCATCTTGTTGCATATTTTTAATCGCAAGTGTTACCTTAAACGTCTGACAGTCTCAAAAATCTTTAGAGATAGCAAAAATATTATAAGCGCCAAAAAAGACTTAACAACCATTGTTTAAAAAAAATTTTGCTGTTACACAATAAATCGGTTACGAAATTCATTATTATACTCCCACTCATCTCATTCATTATTATAGCTACCTCGCATCTGTATCAATTGCCCTAAACAATATTCGATTGATCAAGAACTATCCTACTCAATTTTGAAAGTAGTATATTAAAAGTCTTTTCCATAAGTCCTTGTTGTAAATTTGGACTTGCAAAACCGGGGGAAAACCATTTTCTTCGATAATGTGTTATTATATTTTTGTATTCTAGCTCTTTAAGGCAAAAACGCGAGGTGACTCGAATTATTTGTCCGGGAGTATACATATATTAAAATTCAATTTAGTAATACATTTATATGTAGAAATATTTTTAAAAACCCTCTCCTGTAACATTTGTTTTTTGACGCATACACTAAGCTGGATGTTATACACGAATACCATTGACTTACAATTATATGGACGTCGGGTGCGCGCTAAAAAGTGTCCGAACTTATAGGGCGTTAAAATCTTATACAGAGCGTCATTCATGCTTTAGTCTTCGTTTGTTCGACTGACAGCGAAGCAAGCAAAATTAGACAGTACTGCGATGACATTACAATTTAAATTCAACGTTTTAGCTTTTTCATATTCCTTTACATATCACTACGTTTAAATAGGTTGACTTGGGACATTTTTTTCGTGGTTTTTGTATTAGACCCGTCGTCCATTTATTTGTAAGTCAATGACGAATACTTACATATTAAAAATTGCCGCCTTAATTAGGTAGGGAAAACTAACCTGAAAGGGTAACTACTCTTGAAATCCTGTAATCCCGTCAACTTAGCAATAAATTGTTAATAAAACTGTGTAAAAATAAAATAAATAAAATGTATTATAAAAAAACAACTCTTTCATTTTGAAACAATTTTTATTTTTCATTTGTTTATTTAACCAACAAAGTTATGGACGTCTTTTAT